GCGACCAGATATTTCACATTCATGCAGAGAAATATTGCTTGAGTGTGTGTTGCAATATGCTTCTTGAAACTGGAACTGCATGAAGGATGCCAGGAAATATCTGCAGAATAAACCAATGATTATATTTGGATACTTACCATCATTAAATGGGATCCAGAAAAATCAAGACAGAGAAAATTTGAGACAGGGACAATTTGAGAAGGGGGCAATTTAAGACAGGGACAATTTGAGACAGGGACAATTTGGGACAAAAACTATTTTAATAATGAGGAGAGGAGTCTGCTTAGACTGGTTAAAGGATTTGAATTTTTCCTTGATGAGGAAAGCTTACTTATTTGACAGTGCTGATGGACAAAAAGGTGAAAAACCCATGGGATCATGGACTTTTTACCAAACAATGCAATTTTTGTTCATTTTTACTCCTTATAGAAGCATGAGATAATAGTGAGAGACACAGTCAACTCATTTTGTCTCAAAATGTCTCAAATTCTAAAAATATATTGGTCTCAATTTATTCATGACTCAAAAAGTTTCTGTCTTGAATTGTCCTGTCTCAAAAAGCTTCTGTCTGAAATTGTCCCTGTCTGAAATTGTCCCTGTCTGAAATTGTCCCTGTCTGAAATTGTCCCTGTCTCAAATTGTCCCTGTCTGAAATTGTCCCTGTCTCAAATTGTCCCTGTCTCAAATTGTCCCTGTCTCAAATTGTCCCTGTCTCAATTGTCCCTGTCTCAAATTGTCCCTGTCTCAAATTGTCCCTGTCTCAAATTGTCCCTGTCTCAAATTTTCTGTCTCAATTTATCCTAGATCCTCATTAATTGCATGAATGAAGATTATCAAACCTGATGTATGGCAAATTGTTGGCAACATGAAACTGGAGCCCAAGGTGAACGCCCTTGTGAGAATATTCAGTTGGAGCTGAAATTCCTTGAAACTTTTGCACATTTTCCCACCATGACTTGTTGATGTCCAGCTCATCAGAGATGTCACCTCTAAAGATCCTCCACCTCCAGTCCTCAAGGGCAAGGGCAAAAGTTATCAAGGGAATCTTTTTCAGAGCTTGGTCCATCAGGAAGTTCATTTCAGCTTCAGGTGCTGTAGAAAAAAAATGGTTCAACTTTTGAAAAACATGACCAACTTTTGTATTAAAATTTGAAACCTTGGTATTCTGGGAGATCTGCAGAGGTTATAAGATTCAGCTTCACCAGGTATTCAGGTCTCAGCACTGAAAGCAACATGGAATCTCCAAGGGCTTCATGGAAACTGGGACTGGCACCAGCTCTGAACAAAACTGGCATCTTTGCATAGGCCATGAAATACTCAACATGTCCCAGTTCATGATGAACTCTCTGGTAGCTCTCTTCATCCACTTTGGCACACATTTTAATCCTTCAATAAATGAAAAATTGAACCCTCTCTGTGATCTTGAAAACATAATCAAATAACATAAAGCATCCCAACACCTGAAGTCATCACCAGCAGCAGAGAACATGTCTGTGGATGTTGGGTGGCAGTCAGTCAGGTACAATTCCTCCAGGTTCCTCTTATTCTCCAAGACAGAATTATTCCAGAACTTTGCAGACATTGTGCCCATGCCAATAGATGAATAGAATGATTCAGCCAAAGGGTACAAATCCATGGGATGAAATTCTTTTTGTGTCAACAGCAGCTTGGTGAGGTTCAAAACTTTTGCACCTGGATAAGGCCTCACCAGATGATTCACCTTCTCCCAATTTTTTCCCCAAGGATCACCTGTATATAGAAAATTTAATCAGCAGGAGTGGAAATTTGTTCCAGAGCATAAAAAAAGCAATGCTAACCAAGGAGGTGAATTGGTATTAATCCATTTGACAAATGGAAGTGTTTTCCCAGCCTGAATCTCACATATGCATGCAATTCCTTGTACAAAGGTAATATTTCTTCATACAACTTGAAGACTATGTTCTCCAGATTTGGCAGACCTTCTTCCTCTTGCCAGACTTCAGCCATGTTTTTGTATCCTCCAAGGGACAGAAAATATTTTTCAGGAAATACTAATTAATAAAATGTACTGACTTTCAACATACCACCAGCCTTTGCAGCAGTGTTCAGAATCTTGACAAGTTTTGAAAAATACTTGGAAGAAGGTGTTTTTTGAAAGTATGACTTCCAGACTTCCAGCCAATGAGATTCATTCAGGCTCAGTTTGCAATTTGGCTGGATGTTTTTTGCAATTTTATGCTTTTTTGCCATTTGTCCAATAAGTATCTTGGCTTCCCTGAAAAAAAATAGAAATATTTAGAATTGCAAGAAAAGTTTTCATGGCTATGCAGATATTATTTTTTGCAGTATTGATTAAATATATGGACTTCCTCAAACTTTTCATACAAATAAATGTTTTGAAAGAATTGTTTTGATACCTGAAAGTTAGTATACAGGGTGTGCTGAGAACAAAGCTCATCTGCAACTACATAATTTTAATCTAAAAAATGTTCCTAACTTCAGTGTCATTAGAATCACCAGAGGACAGAGTATATAATTATTTTTGGATCTTAAAACTGATGATGAAAATTCGTTTTTCAATGTTTCATAATTTTTCAAAACTTTTAATATTTTCAAAATTATTTAAACTGAGAAAATTTTAATTGGCTTTAAATTTTCAAATATTTTCAGCATGAGCTAAGAACGGAATAAGTTCCCAACCACGCACATGCTTCTTTCCTTTTAAATAAATGAAGTGTGACGTCCCCAATCCAAATTGGTTTCTATGCGCATTCTTCAACCTTGGGCGGCCAAAGCTATATATACAGGTGCATTTTATGTTGCGTTAAGTTTAACTGCACCAGACTCTGACCAAATGCCAGATCTACGCCGCTTTGCTCTGTATTATTGTATTGTATTTACTGTGTGGAAAGATATAATAAAAAATTTTATATACAGTACTCTCATGCTGGAGTAACTTTTGTGTTTCCTTTGAAAGTTGCAGAAAACCATTTAAATCTCCGATTCAATTCCGTAAGCTGTAAGAAGTGTCCAACAACAACTGATCATCATTGTATGTACTCTTTGGTAATTATATTTTTTTGGATAACAACATTCATAAATTATATTTATATATAGTGAGTGGGGAAACCTCTTTTCATTGTCATGCTTTCATTTCTATACATACATGGGTGTCTGAAGATCCAAAAAATGAGCTGGAAATCTGGAATATAACTATTAAATATAAATAGTTGCACAATAATATTATATATAATATTTGTAATAAGATATTTGCTATTGAGAGTTACCTGGCAGATTGGGCTGAGAACCTGGCTCCTCTCCTGATCAACTCCAACATCCTCATAACAGTGTAATCATGCAAATACTGACTGTGCTGACAATGTGCCACAAATTGATCAGCTTCTCCTCTTCTGGCTTCCATCCAAACTGCTTTCTCCATTGTTGTTTTTGCAAGCACTGCAGAGTCCTCATTGCTCATCCCAGCAGTTGAAAACTTCCATTCAGCAATAGCCTCATTTTCCAATAAATGCCTCAAATTCTGGTTGTAATTCTTCAGCCAATCTTGCACTTTGGACAAAGGCAAAAAAAACATTCTTCTTAATTTCATTCAATAATTTATTTGATTTCATGATGAACCATACTGTAAATCCAGAGGCAGAATTTAATAAATGATATATTATTCAAAAGTATGTACAAAGGCTATTAAAGATCATAATATGATGGTTGTACTGTTCTTGGCTCTTATTTCAATGGTTTTACTGAAGATAATCAAAATGATGATATAATAGTGAAAATTCATGTGAAATCCAGAACTTGATAAAATCCTGAACACCTGACAACAAATATAATGCAGGTATATCACAAGCATAAAAATGCATGAGCAGGACATATAATAATCTCCTTCATAGCTTTTATCAATTTTTGTATAATTTTGATGTTTAAGAACTGCACACATGTAACCAGAAGTTGACTTCATAACTACCTTCAACTCTTCAGAATAGTATTTCAAAATTGAAATTTAAACTTGAGTAAATTCTACTTGATATTGGCAAGAATGTCAATAATATTCTTGCCTCTTTTTCATTTTTTTCAGATTGGGAATTAAGAATATTAATGTGGACACTGAATAATAATTTGAAACCAGTTGACTATATATACAGAACAACTTTCATGAGAAGATTGTTTAAAATGCATTGTTTAAAAAATGTAATATTCCATTTAAAATTTCAAAAATATTGTTGCACTTGTGATCCACTGAAAAATTAACTCATTTTTGTACTGGGAATATTAAACTATGGTGATAACCAATAAACTTGTTTAAATAATGTGGAAAGTCTTTTGCAAAAAAATTATTCAACTGCACCTGAATCACAAGTAGTTGATGTAGCTGGACCTATACAAATCCCCAGCATCAAAACCCAAGAGGAAGCTACAAAAATCACCATGTTGCTGTGTATTATATATACACCTGACATAGATCATGTCCAGGATACAACTGAGTTTTTACAACAGATGAACAGCTCATATAAAAGGCAGTGTTTGTGGGTGAGCCAATAAAGTTCCCCACACACATGTAATAGGGGTGAGTATATGTGAACCCCCTCACCCACAAAAACTATTCTGTGGGGGTTTTTATCCCTTGTTCCCTGATGAAAGGATATGAGATCTGTGCAATATATTAGAGCTGTGGATGAACTGGGCCCAGAGGGAAAACCCTGTAAAATTGGGTGTGTTGACCTGACCTTCTATTGCTTCACTTCCATGCAACAATAAACCAGGTTGTTCCAGCATTATACATACAAATGCTGGTTTGCTATAAACAAATTAAGCATATAATTCCAAAAATATAGGATACTTATATAACCAGATAAGCACAATTTTGCTTTGAATGCATGTAAAATTTTAACTTGAAAAAAAACTGAAGAAAAAAGTAATGATTTTTTTATTATTTTTCAGGAGCTGTTTATCATTGTAAATTTTTTTTACTTTTGTCAAACAAAGAAATGAGCTATAAATACTGCTTTTCTTCTGCAGTGTGCTTGAAAGTGGTTTTATTTCCACCAAGAATATCCAGTGCAAGCCAAAGTTCAAATCCCAGAGCATTTTCAGTTTTCTTTTTCAAAGTAGGGGTCAAGTAGCCATGGCAGGTTGTTTCAAAGCAGGGTGAACCATCTGTGGTCCACCCCATGCATGTCCTGCTGCTCCAGCAGGCATCCTGGTGTTGTAGTCAAAACTGGTGGTGCTTGTGTTGGACTTGTTGCCTCTATTGGTCACCAGGTGGAACCCAATATCCCACAAGAGGGTGAACACTTCCAGGATGGTCACCCCAGACAAACCCAGCATCAGGCTTGCAGCTCCACCAAAGTTACCAGCCAAGGAGAACACCTGAAAATCAATATGCATAAATATATACCTTCCAATTGTTGAGACCTATATGTAATATCATCATTTTTTGAATCAATAAAAATGGTTCTTACTGAGTATTGGGCTTCTTCTCTGGCCATGACTGAGTCAAAGGCAGCAAAATAAATGTTGAGCTTGAGGTAAGTCCTCCTTACAGTTTCCCAGTTTTGTCCAATGATGATCTCATGCACAGAAAACTTTGCAGCAGTATATTCCTTTAAACAAAACCATGAGTACATTATATATACAGTATATATCTTGAGTCAAGATGTAATTAAAAAATCCTCAACAGAATCTGAAACTTCCAAGACATAATCCTTTTTAATCATTTTCCTTAATGCAGAAATAAGCAGGTGGATAAACTGTACATAAAAGAATCTAAATTAAACTTTGGATGGGTTGTGATGAATTATCAAGTATTTGATAAATTCCATAAATTCCAAGAAAGCTCTGAAAATTTTCAAATTTCCCTTTATAATAGTGGACTCTAAGAATGATTGTATGCAGACACCCTACACATTATTTCTGTATACAAATTTCATCCAATTTGATCAATTGCATCTCATCAAAATAAATGCACAGTATATTTCAAAAACATGTCACATATTAATGCTATACTTTTTTTGCTGTTGGAAAAAAAATCCAACATCCTTTTTTTGGCATTGGTCTATGACACCTTATTATTCCTTATTCTTCCATATAAACACTATCTTGAAAGTTTCAGGTCTGAAAGACTGATATCAAGTGTCAAAAGATTTTTAAAATTAAATCCTGAAAAAGCCACTTGCAGAATAAGCCAGGGATGGATACAAAGCACTTGATGTGGTCACTTCATATTGTCTCTCCCTGTATATATAAAAAAAAAAGATACCAGGATACAATCCAAGCAATAAGAATAACAATATCAAATCATTAACATACGAGCAAGCAGGTTTGCAAGAGCACTGGAAATCATGTGAAGTGTCATTTAGGCGCTTTTGCTTCACAGCACCAACACAAATGGCATCAGTGGAGTCTGTGGAGGTATAAGAAGAAAAATCATTTGGCACTACATTAGAGCGACATCTGAACACTAATAAGGTAAGCAGGACATACTTTTCACAGCCATCATGCAGTAGGGGACATTGTTCATAGCCATTCCATGGATGGTGAATTGCTTGAGGTAACCCAGTTCCATGCACCCACACTGGCTGTAGATCTCATGGGATGAGCAAAACCTCAGGCATTCCTTATCATAAAAAAATGGGATAATATTATTATAGCCAAAGAGTGCTGTAACATAATTTAATAATATCCTGTTATCCTGATGAATCATCAGAATGGTTTAAAATAAATACAAATGCATTGAACATGTTCTTTGCAGGATACATTCAACCCTTTGCCTAACATTTTTAGTTGGTGCTGTGGGAAAAAACGTTAGCTGAAAAAAAACGTTAAGCAAGGTAGTCTCTCCCTTAAGATAGAAGGGAGAAACGTTGAATTGGTGTCAGGCAGAATTTTCTAAAGGTAAAATTCAGAAAAAATTAATCAAAGAGTGTATTCCAACAACTGAGCTTTATGCACTGCCATTACATTCAAAAAGTAACCACAGTTCTTCACTCAATTAAAATCAGAGATTCATTTTAAACAAGGAAAGGTCTAAGCGTTACCCGAAATTCAGTGTGTGACACTGCAATTGTTCATAAAATAATTGTAACATAGCTTTATGCACTGCCATTACATTCAAAAAGTGACCACAGTTCTTCACTCAATTAAAACCAGAGATTCATTTTAAACAAGGAAAGGTCCAAGTGTTACCCGAAATTCAGTGTGTGACACTGCAATTGTTCATAAAATAATTGTAACACCACACCACCACACAGGAAACACATTTAAAGCTGTGGAAAAAGTCACATTCAAGAAAATGTACAGGAGGGAGGCATCCACATTCATCACGCGGTGCCGCACAACTGCAGAATGTTAAGCTGATTTTGGAACGTAAAGCGAGGGGATTTTTCTCACAGGACCAGGAACGTTAAGTGAAAGAACGTTCAGCAAATGGAACATTAACCAAGGGTTGACTGTATATACAATACAGTACCTTGTAGTCATACTTCATGTCATAGTAGTTATAGTCAGTTTCATTCCAGAAGGTCACACAGTCTGATGGATATGGTGTGGGTAGGCGCATAACATCTTTCTGGAAGACAGATATAGAAAATAATTTTACATGAAAATAAGGATTTAAATCACTCTATAAACACACAAGGAACCCACTTGTCTCAACTCAAAATTGGTCTCTGTTCCTGGAGGTACACTGTAACCAGAATCCAAAAGGTTCCTGGGGGTATTTGGTGGTATGATGATAATCCTGGCACCACTGGTCTCCCTGAATGGTGACTTGATGTATTGCTCATCCTCAATGTTCAACCTCAGTGTCAACCCTGCTCAGAGCAATCCATTTTTCATGAGCAGAATAATTATTACTGCCAAAGATACTTAAATAATCTGAGGACATGAGATCTTCCAAATTTTGCAAATGTTTCAATTGTTGATAGAATTACAGTACAATGAATATAATGAGGCCTTTCATATAAGAAAGATCACTGTCAATCCCTGGCTTATTGTTTGGATTTTCTTTGCAGCCTACCAAAATTTTGTCAGATGAGTTCATTTTATCTGAACAACATTTCAGCATTTGAAGTTCAATAAACATGCAATCAATTTTTGCAAATGTTGCCCAATGCTTTTATTCTCAATACAAATGAATGCATATAAAAGTAAAAAATCTAAATAAATAAACTTGAAAGTGTCTGATGGTCAATCAAGTTGACCATCTTTGAAATCTGCCACCTAATTCTATATTGAGAGAATTAAAAGTTTTCAGCATTAAATTGAGCATAAAATTGAATTGATCAGAATATAATTTGGAGTTTTGCATATTAGTGTATATTAAATAGATGATGACATTAAAAAATATTTTACTTCCAAACTCACCTCCAGTCACACCAATGACTGATGTGTCAGCTGGAACAAAGTTATCCCCCTGGTTCAAAACAGTCCTGAGGTTTGAGTTGAAAAAGAAGCATTGTCCATACTTGGTGTTTATCATCTTGGCAAAACTGTCCAGAGTGAAAGAACCATTGCTTTTCTCAGCATAAGGAATTTTTCCATGTACAGTATACAATATAGAACTTCTAAAAACTCACTCAGCTTCTGTACATGGCTTCCCTTTGAAAGTGCATTCCACAAACAACTGCCCAAAGGTAACTGACAAGTCAAGTTGTTCAGCCATGGGCAGACTCACAAACATGTCCATGAAAACATCTCCAAATGGTTTTGCATTGTTGCTCACCAAATCTGCTGTTGTGGGGAGTTTCATTGACAGTGCACCTGAATACTGTAGTGAAACCATTTCAGTTGAAACAGCCATATCAGATTAGAGATTTTGACATGAAAATTCAATTTCAGAAAACAGAGCAAGATCTTGCATCCTCATTTTGAAATTGGTTCTAATGGTGAAAATATTGGCTTCTTTTGCATTTTTGAAATAAATTTTTAAACTTCAAATGCTGTAAATAACACTGTACTGATGCAGCAAAATTTGCTGCTTTATTTGGAAGAATCAGAAGCTCACAATAATGAGTGAGTCCATAATGGCTTTCAAGCCAGGATCAGACAGCTGGTTTAAAATGGCAGCATTCCTTTGAAGGGCCAGGATCAGTGCAGGAATTATGCTGTCTGTGTACAGAAATGGAATAGCTCCAAACAACTGGTTCTTGGACAAAACCCTGATTGTCCTGTTGAGGAACACAGTGAAGCCAGTTGAAGCCCTCTCAATTGTTGCTCTTTGTGGAACTGTGCTGACACTTGCAGGTACAGCAGCATTCATTATACTGGGCATCCAGTCCTGCCAGAAAGCTGATCCATTGTTTGCACCATCATATGGTGAGTAATCAAATACACCTGGAAGAAATGTGAATCCATCAGTTTGCATGAGGAAAATATACTGAATGAGTATATATATAGTTCACCATCACTGGAATAAACTACTGTATATTTTTACAAAATGGATTGTCCAGAATTATAAGAAATGACTCATCTCATTGAAATTAATTCTCATTCAAAAAATGAGATTTCTTGAAAAAAATACATGCATGAATTTCAGCAAGTTTTGAACTTCAATTTTGAAATAATTTCAAAGGTAAGTTGAAAACTGAAAGGTGATCTTTTTGCCTTCAGTGTGTATATAGCTTCCATGTGATGCATGGTGAGTATATCAGGAAGTTGAAAGCTTGAAATTGACAGAATTACCTTTTGCATTCATTTACCATAATCATTTGCTGAAAAGACTCTTGCCAAAATCTTAGAGGACCAGCATAAGAAGATCTGTTAACCTTATATGATTTATCATCAAAGATTCTCTCCAAATTGTCCAATCAACTAAACCTTATCTCATGGGAGCAGGCTGAACACCTGAGCTTCAATCTGGGTTCAGTAATTGCCTTATGCTGCAATTCTTATTAAAGATATTTTGATTTATTGTTATCAGGGAAGGGAAGAAAGTGCATGTATTTGTACCAGTTGTGCAATTGTAAATTTTGGGATGTACTTTCTCTCCTTTTAATATCCATATAATAAGGCTTATTTTTCTGTTTTCCATTCTAATGTGATTGAATTTGTTTGTATGAGATGCAAAAGGGAGGGGGTTTGTATGTGGGAATGTAGCTTGAACCTTTTAAATGCTGTGAAAAGCAGAAAATAAAGCTTGCTGTTCAATTCAAATTTGCTGTAAGACACAGTATTTTGTTTTATCTTGTCAAGGCTTATACTGTGTCTGTCATCTGGATCAGATTAAACATTCTTTCTATACTAGAAAAACACGTGTATGCGGCATATGTGTAGGATTTCCAGTTTTATTTTGTGGAGTGTGTTCTCTTTTGTTTTTGTCATTGGTTTGTGCTTTGTTTCATGCTTTGAAGTGATTGAATGTCTTTGGGGGGAGTTGGGTTGGGTGGGGAGGGGGTTTGGATGCGGGAGTCTTGGTTGTGCCTTGTGAACGCTGAAAAGCGGCAAATAAAGTTTTCTGTTCATTCATTCATTCATACTATAGAACAAAAGAAAAGTTATGTTTTTCATTACATGAAACTTGTTCCTGTGGAATGGTTCGATACTGTCTCATTATTGTGCCCTGAATAAGAAGAAGAAGGATCTTCACTCAACTTTCTTTATAAAATACAACTTAAAATGAAGCATCAAAATATATACTCTCAGGCAGAATCCAGAAAGTGTTTTCCAATGTATATTAACCTTCTTGAATCACAGAGTCTCTGAAGGCAGCCACCAACACAGCAAGGGTGGTCATATTGTTGTCAGCCCCCTGGGCAACAGTTTTGAAGCTTGCACGGATCAAAGGAGTCACTGTGTGAACATACCAAACATGATCTTTTGCCAGTCTTATCGAATTCATGATGTGGAACTTGTCAGCCATCCCTTTTCTGCAAGAACAATTTCAAGGCATGATACAGCAAATGCCCTCTTTTTTTGACAAAACCATCATTCACATCTAAATGGCAGATTATGATATCTTTTATATGTTGCATGATGCTGACACATGGGCATATTATTCATGAACAGCATCAGACTTCAATATTGTAAACAAAATTAATTTTAAAAAGCATGAAATTTGAACTTACCTGCAAACCATAATTTAATTGGGTTAAATACTGTATGTATATATGACTTAGCTCATATAATTATGAGAAAAAGGAAATTATCTTTAAAAAAAACCAGAGGAATTTTCCATTTTAAAATACAAAAGCATGCAAGTGATGATAATAACAATGACATAATAGTATATGAATTGATTATAATACTATAAACTACAATATTATTATTTGCTTTTTGATAATAAAACAATAATAATAAATCAATAATTAAAATAAATTAATGAGTATATACATATTTCATATGAGGGATGAATAAGAAAAAATGTACTGTACTGTATATAAAAATAATTTTTAGAAATCATGATGAATGCCATCAACTAAAATGTTGAAAAAGTACTATATTATAATGATGACATTTTGAGAATTTCTAAGTAAAATATACTGTGCTACACACTGCTTTGAAAACTTGAGAAAATTCACAGTTAATTGTGATACCACATTGATATGATTCATTTCCAAAAATAATGATACATTTGACAATATAATGGATCATTGGTAATGATGATCAAATCACAATAATACCAATGATAAATTGAGATGATTAAATTTAGTGATGGTGAAAATTATATAGTGATGAGAAATAAAATTTTAATCTTGAAGCCTTGATGACTCACTTTGTTGCAGTTTTTGAAGGAGAGAAATACCCAGTGACAAAAGGTTCTAGCTCATCAAACACAGTTTTAATTCTTGGGTCATTCAGCATGACTCTGGATGGCAGAGAGTCCACAAAAGAAAAGGCAATCAAGTTCAGGAGTTCAGTTTTTGTAGCCAGGATGTCATATTCACTGGGAACCTTTCCAGTCATCTTTTGATAGACAGACAGAATGGTGGTGATTTCAGTTTTAGTCTGCTTTCCCAAACTGCATCTGCTTTCATCCCACAAAGCAGGATAGTCTAAAGACCTTTCATACAACCGCCTGAAAAAGATTTACATACAATGAAAAATGATACTATAATGTAGGTAAAATACATACCCTAAATGCAACTATGCCAGAAGTTTCTTCACTCAAACTGATTGAAAATTTCTACAACTGTTATTCACCTAATATAAGTTATATGCATCAACATTAATATCCTGCATGATGAAGCATACATAATTTTTCAGTATATGAGATTATTGAAGCCAATCAACCTATTGCATATTTTTGCACTCAATTTTTGATTAATATTTTACTGGATTTGTGCTACAATACACAAATTTGAACTTAATCTGTGCATTCTCAAGAATATTTGAACATGTTTATGCAATTAAAAGATGAACTTGAAAACCTTTGCAGGAAATAAAATCATATATGCAGTCAATAAGTTGAATCTTGTTGGAAATAATTCTTTTTTGTCAAGAAAAGCAAGCCTAGATTCCCCACCATTTTTTGCACCAATAAACAAAAATTCATGATGGCAAAACTTCATATGGTAGTTACCTTTAAATTTTTTTTCCAGCAAGCAAGAATTCCTAATGACTCAGTTATTTGTTACTCTGTGGTTGTAATGATAATTGTTCTCTGTGTAGGAAAACTTTTAAGGAAGCAACTGAATGGTGCCTAGCTGAATTAGTACTATAATCTTCTCATATCCTGAAAAGGAATGCATTTTGATGTGAGCCTGTGAACCAAACCTGAGTTGGTTCACAATTGAATTGCCTTTATTTTTCATGGCTTTAAAATTATTCTGCTTTTTGTGAATAAGCCATTGTGGTATTAATCTGATATATGCTGGCATGCCATGTATGCAGAGAACTGGTTGATTGATTTTATCTGTTTTTTGGAATTTGCTGTTTTCTGAGAAGTTGCTTTGGTGAATTCTGCATTTGAATGTGATGGGGTAAATCAGTCTAACTAAAAATGGCACAGAGTTCTTCATTACTTTTCTTTATTCTTTTTTATAAAATCCTATGTACATTGCCACACTTCTCTAAATGAGAAAAACATTCAACGTACTGTAACCCAGAATAAACCAAATTGCAATTATTTTATTTTCTCCTTATTTGGAAGGAGATCCTTCTCAACAAGGTATTTGTTTCCTTGCAGCTGTTCCCCTTTTGTTTTGGTTCCCCCTCTCTCACGTCAGCCCGCATTAATGCATGATGGTTGTTATTGCGCATTTCTCCTTTTCAACTTGCTATTTGTTGACAGTGACAAACAACTTGCACTGCCTTCTTCTAAACTGCCAATTTAGAAGAAGCCTATTCTGTTGAACTCCCAAGTGTATATATTATTTATATTTATATATATATATACCCAGATGTATATATATTCATCAGTGTTCAAGGAACCCGCAGTTCCTCAATCTAGGCAAATATTCCGCCTCTATATTTCATGTTTCCAGGAAGGTATAAATATACCTTCCTTCCCACATATTTCTCCAGAATTAATCTAGAGTCGTTTGCAGTTATTTCTCAGAGAGACTTGAGGAACGTTTTAGCAAGACTCTCTTAAAGCTCTCTATTTTTATTTTTGTGTGATTGTACAAATATCTTGTGAGTTGAATATACTGTATTTGAAAGTCTATATTTTTATTTGACTTGTATAATTTATTTACATTGGTCTACGGACAGCAATACATTGTTAGCAAGCTGCATAAATGCTCCTACACTTTTTCTCATTAATTGAATCTGGTAATCAGCAATACTTCTCAGTGTGAACAAACTCAGCAGAGAGAAAAAAAACAAATTACAGCTGTTTGAATTTGTCCCTTTTCAAATCTAGCCCAAAACAACTTTAATCTTTGAAAAGTTACTCTATTTTATTGTGCAATAAAACAACCTTAAACTATGATGCTAGTCCTGGTCACAGCACAGCTGATTAATTTGTGTATTCATTTCTCTCTTCTAAAATGTTGATGCTCAATATTTTGCTTGTATCCAGCCTGATCTTTTTCCAAAGTGAATTCAAACCTCAATATCTTGTGAGTTGTCCAGCCTTTTTTTTCCTCACACACTGTGTATAAATACTGTACTGTATGTACCTGCAAGGAACTGGGTTCGCATTGCAGATGGTAGAACGTTTTAGCAAGACTCTCTTAAAGCTCTCTATTTTTATGTTTGTGTGATTGTACAAATATATTGTGAATTGAATGCATTTGAAAGTACTGTATATACTTTTATTGGACTTGTATAATTTATTTACCTTGGTCTACGGACAACAATACATTGTTAGCAAGCTGCATAAATGCTCCTACACTTTTTCTCATTAATTGAATCTGGTAATCAGCAATACTTCTCAGTGTGAACAAACTCAGCAGAGAAAAAAAAACAAATTACAGCTGTTTGAATTTGTCCCTTTTCAAATCTAGCCCAAGACAAATTTAATCTTTGACAAGCCACTCTCTTTTATTGTGTATTAAAACAACCTTAAACCATGATGCTAGTCCTGGTCACAGCCCAGCTGATTAATTTGTGTATTCATTTCTCTCTTCTAAAATGTTGCTGCTCAATATTTTGCTTGTATCCAGCCTAATCTTTTTCCAAAGTGAATTCAAACCTCAATATCTTGTGAGTTGTCCAGCCTTTTTTTTCCTCACACACTGTGTATAAATACTGTACTGCATATACCTGCAAGGAACTGGGTTGGCATTGCAGATGGCCACTGAGGGGAACTCCAGGATCTTGTTCAGCCTGGTCTCCAAAACTGAAACCACTGGATAGCCCAGGTAGTCATCAAGCACCAGGTAACAAGCCCAGCCAGTGATCCCTGTGCTGAAAAGGGTGACAAATGCCCAGAAAACAGTCCTGACAACTAGCTTTTCCCTGTATGACTTGGCTGCATGGGACACCCCAAGAATGGTGCAGTCCCCCAGGAGGAAATTGGATCTCCCAGTGGGTTCTGCATAGTACACTGGGTGCTCTGACATCCTGTGGACTNTGCTCAATATTTTGCTTGTATCCAGCCTGATCTTTTTCCAAAGTGAATTCAAACCTCAATATCTTGTGAGTTGTCCAGCCTTTTTTTTCCTCACACACTGTGTATAAATACTGTACTGTATGTACCTGCAAGGAACTGGGTTGGCATTGCAGATGGCCACTGAGGGGAACTCCAGGATCTTGTTCAGCCTGGTCTCCAAAACTGAAACCACTGGATAGCCCAGGTAGTCATCAAGCACCAGGTAACAAGCCCAGCCAGTGATCCCTGTGCTGAAAAGGGTGACAAATGCCCAGAAAACAGTCCTGACAACTAGCTTTTCCCTGTATGACTTGGCTGCATGGGACACCCCAAGAATGGTGCAGTCCCCCAGGAGGAAATTGGATCTCCCAGTGGGTTCTGCATAGTACACTGGGTGCTCTGACATCCTGTGGACTGATGACTCTCAGCAGTGGGATGATGACATCATCATTTGTCTCATCAGCATCTGTGGCAGATTGCAAGTGGAATCTTGTTACACAAATCTTCCAGGGACTTTGTATTCAGAAAGGAAAACAAAAGTCTTTTGATGAGGAATGTATTGCCTTAAGGTTTTTTTTTTTAAAGATGCTCATCTTCTCAAATCAGAATTTCAAAAATCAATCTTTAAAGTTTTTAACTAACCAATAATTTTTCTTACAAAATATATGTTTGCTTGTGAGAAAATACTTTTACTGTATAAAATATGGTAAAAATTAAGTACAAGTGGAATGAAATTTTTTTTTGTGTTGCATCAATACAGAGTCTGAAAAAGGGTTCAATTTAAAAATCAGGGACCTTATCAATGCATTGCATCAGAGTTATAATAAAATGCTGTATGCTAATTTTTATCAAGCCAGAAGCTCAATAAATCAATGTTGGGTGTTTTTAACTTAACAATTTTTTTTCCAAATAAGCATATATATTTTGTGAGAAAATACTTGTATACTGTAGTTTACTGTATAGTAGAAAAGAATTTTAAGTGGAATGGAAACAAATTAGTTTCAATGAAAATATGTTGCATGAATACTTTCTGATGAAAAAGCTTCAATGTTTTCAGATGGAATTCAGAGTTTTGAGGTGTAATTCATTTTTGAGTGTTGCTCTTGAATGCATATTAAAAACTTTTCAAACAAAATGCATTTTGAAATAATAGCATTGAAAATTAGGTTCAATGAGCTTCCTGGGAGCAAAAATCCATTGAATCCTTTAAAAATACTGAAACTATGTTTTGTTATTATTAAGCACATGTTTTTTCTGCTTCAACCTTTTAGCATTTTTGTCAAAATTTAGAATTTTTATGATGGGATATTTCATACAGAAATCCACAATATTGGACATTACATATGTATGCAAATAAAATATGATATACCCTACAATTCACTAAATTTTGGAAGCAAAAATTTTCAATTGTACATCAGTGACTGATTATTCAATAGGATAAACTTCATCACATACTAAGGGATAAACAATAAGAAAGACTTCATGGTAAAATCAATGTTTACTCCATTGGAAAAAAATCAGTATAAAAAGCAATTAATTTGAAATTTCCACAGTTAATTCCATTTTTTTTCAAAGAAAAAAATTTTGTCACTCACCATCAGCAGAAAAGAAATGATTTGTGTGCTTGTCATTCTGGAACTGGGTCGCATTTTTATACCTCTTGTCATCTACCCCCCCCCCCCCAAAAAAAAGGGGGAGGAAATTGCTGAAACTTGTTCCCCCTCTTTTTACACCCCTGCAATTATCTGGGCTGGAATTCTTCCCTCATGTTTCCGGAGACCAGACAATAATGACCATTAATTAAAGCCCACTAACCGAAAAGGATCGATTTCCGGGAGCATCGGAGACAAAATCGTCTTGTTTTTCTGCAATGCGACAGTAATTTGCATCACAAAAAACGCAAGGAATGAGTGAAGGCAAGAAAAACAAGAATAAGTTGGCTGGAAAATTCCTTGGAAAATAAAGGGTGTCCCAAATTGAGTCCATCTCCTGAATTTCAAAATTTCATCATTAACTTTACTAAAATTACATGTATTTGTTATTTCTCTGTCTTCCAATTGATGGTTTGCAAACTTTTATAATTTTCTGATTGACCATCATAACTTATGAAACATGAAACTGCTCAAATCCCAATTTTTGGTCAAGGATGTAAAGCAAAAAAGAATATTTTTTAGCATTTTACATTCTGTATAAACCTATGAGAGGAAAGAACCAGGAATTAAAAATAATCCTTGCATCATGTGAAATATTCCAGTTTCCAAATCAAACCATGAATTGAATCCATTTCAACTGCTCAATTTTTGTCATTTTTGTTTTTTTACAATTTTAAGAAAGAGCCCCTGAAATAAAGATAGAATTATTTTTACTGTTCCTTGGGAAAATGTTTCCATTGAAGTGAAAATAGTTGCATAAAATCTCACTGCTATCAACTATACAGTATAACATTAAAAATTGAAGAGCAGACCAATCACTCAAAATACACTGGAAAACTTTATGGGAAATTGGGGCGATGAACTTTTTTTTTGTGTGGCACCTTTAATTCCAACAAAAACAGTTTCTTCTTCATTGGAAAAGTTATTGGAGATCTGAAGCCATCAAATGTCTCACACAAAATAATACCACTGGAAAACAAATGCCTTTTTCAACAGATTGTATGGGAATAAGTGAACAGAGAAAATAAAGGAAAAAACAGAGTGAGAATAGGTACTCATTCCCAAAGCATCAATACCCATTAAAAGGTACAAGGTTACTACATACAAGTTTCCTCCATGAGTAATTATTGTGTTTTTTCTCTTTGTCAGGGACTGTAATTTTTTTGCAATGCTCAAGTGCAAACTACTGCTGGACTTGAATAAGTCATTTCTAAGGAAACCCTGGAAGAAATTGATCCACCTTCTAAAACATGTGAGAATAACAATGGAAAAATGAAAAATACCATGGAGCAAAAGTAATCTAGTGTATCTGTATTTTCCAAAGAAAAAGATAGATATTATATATGTATTGGAATTGTATATGTACTGTATTGGTTTTAGTGATGCTAATCTTTTAATTTTTTCACAACTATGTTGCTGCACATCATCTTTGATTTAAAAAAGGAATAGTTATTATAGTGTGATACAATGTTTGCTCATTGTATCATTAGTTCATGCCCCAGTAAATGTGGCAGCAACCTTGTCCTCAAGGATTGTGCAACCAAGAGTGTCCCCTGCTATTCTCTTCCCCACCAGCAGTATATAAATGGCAAGTTTTCCCATTTGAGAATCATCAGAACCATTCTAGAGCTGAGACTTGAGACAGTAAAGTAAATGTCACGGGTCAACTAGATGTCGCCCGCTGATGCATCAATTAACTCGGGCCGACTAGGTGTTGCCAAAGTAAAAGAGGCATTGGAACATACAAGAGATTGACGTGGCGTACAAGACACCAAGTCATCCTTGTATCTTGAATTAAAAACATATACTCCTACAAACATAATAAATTATTAACAAAAATGCGAACAGGAAAGAAAACAAGATTCCAAAGAAATCTTACCACCAAAAGGGTAGCCTTGGAGATAATGATCTCCAAGACTTATTCCACTTGTGTGAATCAGACACTATCATGAGAATTAACTGGACCTGAGCAAATAACAATTCAACACACCAGCAGAAAACCTTGAAGAAACTTTCCACTATAGAGGAGGACCTGAACCTGTTCATTTTCATGTGAAAAAAGTGTCACTTGTCTTCTGAGCTCTGAAGAGAACAGACTTGCTATTATTGTGTGCTGCTGAACCATCATCAAACATCATTTGAAAACTTGAAGACCATATAAACCAACGTCAAGGTATTTACCTCAGGTCACAAACGGCCAATTGTGTCTTCATATTTCTTTTGCTTTATCAAATAAGCAGAGACTTAAATCTTTGCCAGAGAGGCTCAACAGCCCCTGAGAGTATAAAGGCACAGCTAACCTATAAAACGTTGTTGATTAACTTTAGATTGTGTTTCTCAGTCCTCTGGACTTGAAGCTTTTGTGTTTGTGTCTTGTATTGTGTTTGGTCTTCTGAATTGCCTTGTTCAGCCAGTGTATAATAAAGTATTGTATATATACATAACACTCAACTCACAGTTCCTTAATCTCAGTCAGGGGATGAAGGGACAACAAAGGTTATAGTGGACTGAAATCTTCAAGGGTTTCTTTCTCAGGGGTACTTTTCTGTACAAATTTCCTTCAAAAAATTTGACTTATGCTCAATCCATGCCTATAATGTTTAATTTGCATTGGCATATAAATTCCATTGAAACATTTTGTGATTAAGAAATGATCATGTGTTTTTTCACAAGAATTTGCTGGTTGGCAAAGATTTGATCACTCTGTATTTATTATACTGGCTTGAAATAAATTTTGCAAATGCAATTCAATTTTCACTGAAAGCAGTTGTCCATGTTGAGGATTCTGTAAGAATATATCAAATGTAATCTTCTGGTCTCCTTGGTGAAGAAAGTTATGATTCTCTGAAAATCTTCCTCATGCTCCAGAACTGTCAATCACAGTAATTGTAACACATAATTTTCTTCTCAATATTGTTCAACATCAGCATTACCAATACATTAATGATTCTCCTCCCGTTTTTATTGTGTTATGTTTTGTTCAAGATGATAATATACGTTTTAATTTAAAATGAAATGAGGACGTTAGTATTCGGTATAAGTTCAGTCAATAATCAACTTTGTTCTCGGTCTTTTATTTATGAATATCTACTGAAGATATAAACTGGCCATGTTTTCTTATACAATCTTGTTACAACAAATCTTGTCTTTAAAAAAAATTCTTTTTACTGCCCTGCCCATGGCCACAATATTAAAGGAGTTTCTGTACTAAAAATATTGTAGCAGCAATGCTGTTTTACTGGTCCCAGGGGGTTAGTGACGTATTTATAAATGAACTTGAAATTACAGGTGGTACTCAGGTACTGTGTCGAACTCAGGTGATTCATGATATCGAATACGAACAATAAAGTAACGGTTTTTTACTTCTTCTCGTGTTTTTGAATTGTGGGCAGGTGACAATGACACTGAAGTATATAAATTTGGCAGTCATTAACTCATTATTCAGACTTGTTTAGCCAAATTTTTTTCAAGTGAATTGGCCCTTGGGATCATTAAAATTCTCATATAAAAACTAACTTGCTCTGCAAATTGCCAAAAATTTGACATTTTGTTAACTGACAAAGTATTAGTGAAATAGCCAAAACCATTGCTGCAACAATCCAACAAACTTTGAGGGTCCAACGTTTTTAAATAGAAAAGACAGGAAAAAATTCTGTTGGAAAAATTTTCACAATATTTTTCAATCACAGCAATTTTTCTGGTTCTGAGCAGATTTTTCATGGGAACCTTGTAAATGAATATTTTTCTAACAACTCAGTACAGTAATCTCAGTTTAGTAATCTTGGTGCAATCTCCGTTGTTATCTTAACTGATTATATACTTGGTTGTTTGCAACAAAATAAATATACTCAATATATATATAAAATATGTACAACTAAAATATATTCTTTGGTTTCAATAAATCACAACATGCATACAGTTCACACAATACAGTCAAGATAAACTAAGTTAAAGAAGTCTTGCTAAAACAACGCAAAAGTCGGTGAACCAAAACAAGAAGAGAGAGAATTTTGTGGGAAACTTCTTGTGCTATTATTTTTCACTGCATAAATATTTACTTGAACTTTAATGTCCACCATGAGTCCATGACACAGCTTGAGTCCACTAAGTACTATAGCTTATGCTTGTTATTTCATTGCCAAAAAATGAAGAAGAGCACAAAAACTGTTGTGGGCAGGTGGCAATGACACTGAAGTATATAAATTTGGCAGTCATTAACTCATTATTCAGACTTGTTTAGCCAAATTTTTTTTAAGTGAATTGGTCCTTGGGATCATTAAAATTATCATATAAAAACTAACTTGCTCTGCAAATTGCCAAAAATTTGACATTTTGTTAACTGACAAAGTATTAGTGAAATAGCCAAAATCATTGCGGCTACAATCCAACAAACTTTGAGGGTCCAACGTTTTTGAATAGAAAAGACAGAAAAAAATTATGTAGGAAAAATTTTCACAGTATTTTTCAATCACAGCAATTTTTCTGGTTCTGAGCAGATTTTTCATGGGAACCTTGTAAATGAATATTTTTCTAACAACTCAGTACAGTAATCTCAGTTTAGTAATCTTGGTGCTGCAATCTCAGTTGTTATCTTAACTGATTATATACTTGGTTGTTTGCAACAAAATAAATATACTCAATATATATATAAAATATGTACAACTAAAATATATTCTTTGGTTTCAATAAATCACAACATGCATACAGTTCACACAATACAGTCAAGATAAACTAAGTTAAAGAAGTCTTGCTAAAACAACGCAAAAGTCGGTGAACCAAAACAAGAAGAGAGAGAATTTTGTGGGAAACTTCTTGTGCTATTATTTGTATCTTGAAGAGAAAGACATAACCGTAAAAGAAACTGAGTCTAAAGTGTCAAACGCGTTGTAGGATAACACAGTACAGTATACTCAGTTTTTTGCCTGCTCATCTGCATGGTATATACAGGGTGTTTTAGTAGTATAACATTGAAAAATTGTCAATCATTTTGTATTGCCTTGCAGGCATCATAATATGAAATTTTCCCATTCTATTTTTTTTTTACAACATATATATATTTTTTAGGGGCGCCAACTTTGTTCTTGCACAAAGGCGCCTCCCTCCCCAGCACTGGCCCTACAACTTGCTGGCTGGCCCTTCAACAAAAAGAGGAATAGACACACACACATACACCAGAGGACAGCAGGCTATTGGGCTGGCTGACCTGGAGGCAGCATGCATGACTTGCATGATCATGCATGCAGTTTTTTCCTAGCTGGGCTGGGGAAATGCATGGAAAGAAGGAAAATAGAAGGGACAACAAGAACTCAGAGAAGGGAGCCAGAGCAAGCTCAAGCTGGGCTCAAAAACAGGTCTGGATCACAGACAGTTTTTGTCTGGGCCAGTCATCTGTTACTCAGAGTTTTTCTGTCTATAAGAAGCACACTGTGGAAGATTTTTTTCTTCAAGCCAAAACTGACAAATTCTGAGTTTTCAGTTTACACTCTCATTACAGTATTATGAGGATTCCTTCATGTTGCAGCTTTAATAAGATGAATACACTCAAATGGAGCCTCTTGATTCCCATACTCTTAATATTTATTTTAGTAGCAAGTTATTATTTCAAGAATTTTGGGAAACTTCAGGGGAAGTTCATCAAGCAAAACCCAAAAATGCAAAAGTGTCTCAGTGTTTTTCACACCAATGGAAGCCTGACCAGTGATCTCCAATGGGAATTGGCACATTGCAAACTGAATAAGAGATTCAATGAAACTGACAATAAAAAGTCTTGTTTGAAACAAAGACACATTCACAAGCTCAGCAACCAGTTTCTCTTCTTTGGAGACTCCACAGTGAGGGCAAAGGCAATTGCCCTGGCAAAATTCTTCAATATTTTTCAGAAACCCTGCTCTACTGAGAACTGCGATTTCAGCATGGTCCCAAAACTGCATTGGGAAGATGAAGCATCTTCCACTAAAATTGACTTTCTCATGAACCCCTACTTCAACCCATACTTGGAGGTAAGTTGGTTTGAATTTGTTCATTCAGTGAGTCCCTGTATAACAAAAAAAATTATGTGAACAAATCTTTGCTTTCCAAAAATTTGTACAGTATTGCCAAAAAGTGACTCAGATGATAATAAGGTATGTTAATTTAAAAGTAAATGGTCCTGAAAAAATTCAATCAATTTTATTCAGGTGTTTGATATAATTGAAGCCTTTCATTTTGTCCCAGACCAAACAAACATTTTGTTCAGGATAAACGACAAACGGAAGAAATGTTAGCCACTTACTGCTTATCCACATAATGTTTTCAAATTTGAAACTTTGAGAGCTTGAATTCCAGCACTAGTTGAAAATACTTTTTTCTCAGCAAAAACAATGGTGATTTTGCTAACTTTCCATTATTTATGAGAGAATCAGCACCTCATTTCAAGCAGAAATTTCCAGAAAGAAATTAATGCAACTCAAAATGAGCTAAAATTGATCATCCATTATTCAAAATTTGCAATTATCTTTAGTGTGAAAAAAACCAATTACTTTCTTCATCATTTGAGTCCATTGAAGTAAAAAATTTAGTTTGTGGAATAACCTCATGCCTGGTATTGATCAGGTTTGTCAGCCAAGAGTTGATTGAATATTTTTACAGAAAGAATATTTCACCTGTGAAGATCTAATCAACTTTGAATCAATGAAATAGATACCAAATGGCACTCAAACTGTCTTGTTTGGAGGCTCAGTCTGGTTCACACGGCCTCCAGAAATCTTTGCTGGAGTGTCAGAGCCATACTATGACCTGAAACACCTTCCAATCCCAAAGAAATTGGAAATACACAGAATCAGATTCAACCAACTACTGAAAGAGCTCACTGAATACTGGAAAATAGAAACCATCATATGGATTCTACCTGAACCCATGCGTGGAGAATTAGCTCAATACAATCACTTCTGGGATGCTTTTGTCCAGCAGAGCCTTCAAGTGTTGTCCAAGTATGAGGACAAGGTGGTCATTTGGTCCAGCTGGGCCATGTTCTTCCAGCAGCTGGAATCCAAGGGCCTTGGGAACATCATGCCTGATGGTCGCCATGTGAAAGAAGAATTTCAGCTCCCTGGGATGCAACCCCTGTTGAACTTTTTGTGCAACCCAGTGGATCCAAGTGTTGATTCACAATTTTGCTGTCACAATAATGTAATTGATTCTGTGGTAAAAAAAAATTCCAGCTTGAAAAATAACCATTAAGGGGTTCCTCATCAACTATGTTCAGGGTCTCAAAAGGCCATTTTTCAGCATATGTGAGCACTCATGAACAGCAAGATTTTCTCAGCTTAATATATAAACTCAAAATGATTCATGCATTATTCTGCTGCAGTGATTGATTTTGTGAATGAAATATATGAAGGAAAAAAAATCAGCACGTGTCACACATACCCAGCAAATAATTTGTTACAGATATTGCTGCGCATAACAGTTATGCATTCAAAATGCGTTTGTTATGCATAACTGTTACGCCCAGCTTCTTCTGAAATGCCTTTCTTCTACTGCAGGTATAATACTGGTGGTAGGGTTGTGTACCACCAGTATTATACCAGCAGTAGAGAACCCCACAACATATTATCACTGTGATTGACCACAGTATTATTACCGAGGCCAATCAGAGATCTTTGGTATTTTGTAATACCGCAGCGCAGATCCTGACCACTGGATTTATGCTGCAACAATAACTTATCCTTTTGGAAGGGGCCCACTCCTTCGAGGTTCAAGGCAAGTTACAAAAAATTCAATGGGACAGCCAATTTTCAGAACCACCAGACAGCGGAGCCCTCCTCAAGTGCGGGGCCCCCTCAATCGCGGGGCCTGGGGCAGCTGCCCCTCTCACCCCACCCTAAGGCCGCCACTGACTGCAGGTATAATACTGGTGGTAGGGTTGTGTACCACCAGTATTATACCAGCGGTAGAGAACCCCACAACATATTATCACTGTGATTGGCCACAGTATTATTACCGAGGCCAATCAGAGATCTTTGGTATTTTGTAATACCGCAGCGCAGATCCTGACCACTGGATTTATGCTGCAACAAACTGGTTCACAAACTGATATATGCAACAAAGTGATGCTACAAACAAAATGCTGCAGATTTTTATGTTTGTTGCATCAGTTTGTTGCAATTATACAAAACCAAAAAATATAAATTTTGAAGTTAAAACTACTGTTAAAAATAAAGAATAATTTTTAAAGAATGTAACAGGCTAGTGTTTCAAAATACTCCATTCTACAACCAAGGAAAAGCTGTAATGAACAGTTTTTGGCACTGTAACAGACAGGCATTTTAAAATGCATATCTGTTACAATCCCAAAAACTGTTTATTTCAGATATATTATACCATCTGGTACATAATACCTGGTATTAAATGCCCTGGTATTATTACTGACTTATCATCACCTCATTATTAATACTAAGGTATGGTGGCGCAGTTGATATGACTTTGGTCTCAGGAATGTTTGTTTGAAGTTCAAATCCCAAGAGGCCAAAGAGGGACAGTTTATTATTCATGTATTTCCCTGTCAGTGTGTGAGTGTCTGTGTGATAGTGTGTGTAATGTGTGCATTGTGAATAATGAGTCCAGTCTGTCTTGGTGAGAATATTTTTTAAAGTTGTGATTTTCCTTGTAACACATCTTTTTTTTATGTGTATCAAATGCGTTTCTGCATTATAATCAATCCTATCCAGGCGTAACTTGAGTTAAGCCTGGATAAATACCTAGCTGTGACTAGAGGGTGTTTCAAAACGCCTTCTGTTATGCATTATCCAAATTCCTGAGTAGGCGTAACATAGAGGAGCTTGAAATGCACAGCATTTTGGGCTAGAAACCCATTTAAAACGCATTTCAAAATGCCCAAATTATTTGCTGATGGGTATATCAATGTATATGCAGCGCTTGAACTGTATTTGTCATTTTCACTTGATTGGAAAGAGGTAATGATGTATATGTACCATATATTGCCTTAATTGTTTATGTCACATCTCATATGCGGTATGCATATATCACAGTGAGACCCCCACATGCTGCAGACACCTTGAAATGTTGTCAATTCAACATATAGGGACATTGCCCAACATATGGACACTGATGCGACATGCAGTCATGAAAATTGATGGAAAGTTGACATTGGGCTACAGTATAAACAAAGCTGATCTTCAAAGAAGAATTTAGGCAAGTGCTGTTCTAAAAACAGTTTTAACTTCTGCAGTGTTACAAAGGATCCTATAGGGGTCTGGGGGAACTTTATGGAGGTCGTGTAACGTGTGTCTGTGGCCTAGGTGTTGAAAAAAAAAGTTATATGACCCAACGTCATCTAGGACCCTGTGGGCCAGTCTGTTACTAGGAGTTTTTCTGTCTAATAAGTTCAATGTGAGAAATTATTTTCTTCTATCC